CGCGGGGCCCTGGGCGAGGAGCCGCCGGGCTCGGACTCGGTGGAGGAGTGGCTGCCCACGGATGCGTCCGAGTGGCTGCGGCGGGGGTTGTAGGGCTTCAGGAAGGAGCTGTACACAAAGCCTTTGGTGACTGCGGGGAGGAGACAGGACATCAGGAACCCAGCGGAAGGACGGAGAGAGGAGGGGGCCCGCAGGGAAAAACCACGGCTAGAAAGCTGGGTCAGGGCCAGGCAGGGTGGCTCACGCCTGTCATCCCAGCACTTTGGGAGGCCGAGTCGAGAGGCTCGTTTGAGCCCAGCCTGGGCAACATCGTGAGACCTTGTCTCTACAATAAATCCAAAAATTAGCCAGGTGTGGTGGTGTGCGCCTATAGTTCCAGCTACTTGGGAGGCTGAGGTGGGAGGATCGCCTGAACCCAGCAGGTCGAAGAGTGAGACTTCGACTCAAATAATAACAACAACAACAATAAAATTAAATAAAGAACAGCGGGGTCCGTGGAGGGACCAAATAAGACACCCAGCGACAAAATGGCTTGAAACCCGCAGCCCAGGACATGCCGTGGGTGTGGAGAGGCGCCGTGGCCACCTGCCAGTTCCTTCTTGTTACACCCTCACAACAGATGAGTGGCAGGGGCCTGGAGACAACCAGGGAGCAGTCATGAGAGCGCCACACATGTGGGAGGACACGTGACGAAGACGTGGCAAGACATCTGGACGGTGGCCAGGAGACGTCCCGGAGTGCTGTCCAGACACGCCAAGCGTGACAGAGAGGCTGTCTGAGCCACCTTGCCGTAGGCCCCGTGGGCAGGCGGCCTCCTTCCCGCCCGTAGATGAGCACGTTCATACAGTATCCAGAAGGGTGACAGCAGCCCTCAGCTAAAACCTAAGTATAAATCAGGGACCAAGACAGAGCCACAGGACTTTTCTTTTGAGTTGGGGTCTGTCGCTCAGGCTAACGGGCTGCTCACTGCAGCCTCGACCTCCTGGGCTCAGGTGATCCTCCTGCCTTAGCCTTCCAAGTAGCTGGAACTACAGGTGTGTCCCACCACACCTGGCTAATTTTTTTTATTTTTGTAGAGACGAGGTCTCACTATGTTGTCCAGGCTGGTCTGGAACTCCTGGGCTCAAGTGATCCTCCCCCCGCGGCCTCCCAAAGTGTTGGGATTATAGGTGAGAGCCACTGCACCCAGCCTGGACAATTTTTTTTTTTTTTT